TGAAATATTTCATTGAAATATTTCAATGGCATCTGCGCATGCTCAGAACTATATTTCAGTGAAATATTTCAACGAAAATATTTCAGCCTCCGAGGCTGAAATGCTTGCATTTCACATCAATGCAAATCAACTTTCTGAAAAAAATTTATTCGATTAGAAAGAAACTTTCCGGTAAACTTATATTCGTTCGAATTTTAAACTTATATTCGTTCGAATTTTAAATTCGATTCCTTTGATAGCACGTTTGTTAAATAATTTGAACTTAAAGTTTTAAAGTTTTGAATTGTGATTCCTTGTTCAATATGAGTGGATATAAAATTAAATCCGATAAAGCATCAATTCATCTTATGGATGATCAGTTGATATCACAAATGATAATTTTAATGAAGAATAATCCTTGTTTATTTAATGTCGCTGATCCAGATTTTAAAAATGCGACTAAAAAAATGAAAATTTGGAACCGAATTGCTGATGAATTAAATTCATACGCGGCCAAGAAGAAAAATATCGATCAATTAACTGATTTGATCACAGGAAAACTGGTCCAGGCAAAGTTTAGGAATTTAAAAATAACCTATTCTACATTAAAAAAAAAACAAATCGCCGATAAAGACTCGAATGTTATAAGTTGGATCCATTACGATGAAATTGAATCCTTGATGACGAAAATTCCTGTTCGAACAGGTTTGGATTCATTATTAACAACAACAATAGAACAGATTGAAGAATCAGAACAGGCATCATCATCATTAATTATTCCCGAAATTCTTACGTCGTTCTCACATGAATTATCATTGCCATCACCATCATTGTCACATCATGAAATATCCAATGAAACGGCCGAAACAATGATGAATGAAAATGAAACGCTCAATCAATCAATCAATCAATTAACAAAGCGTTCATCGAAAAAAAGAAAACATGAAGAAGATTATCATGAACTAATTCGATTGAAGTTAGACAAGGAAAAAGAAGAAAAAATTCCATGTGATCAATTATTGTTGACGTTCGGTAAATACGTTTCATTAAGTTTGAACCGGTTACCGAAAGAAAGCCAAAACCAAGCCCGTCATTTAATTTCAAATTTAATTTTTAGGATGGAATCGGATCCTATGAACATTGGATCAATTTCTATCATCTGAACAATTATTTGAATCAACGATTATGAATTTTTTTTTGAATGTTTTAATAATAAACTAATTTAACAAATTAATCAGGCAATCTGCAAATTTTTCTCTAACAGTGCTTGCATCGCTTGTTGATTGTTGATTTTCTAAATTTTGTTCCGGTAAAATCTCTAGGTTGAAGTCGAATGGTTCCTCATCTATAGATATAAATAAATTTTTGCTTTATTGCTTTATTAAATTAGAAAAAATGCTTCTTACCTTCGTTTTTTAAGAAATTGTGCAAAAGACAGCACACAAAAACCAACTTATCCATGGTTTCTAATTTGCAAGTGATTGGTCCTTTTAATATTGGAAACCTTGCTTTAATTTGTCCGAATGCATTTTCAACAATTCGTCGGAGAGCAGATAGATGATAGTTGAACGTGTGACATCTCCCGTCACTGTCATCACGTAACCGGGCTTTTGAATAGGGAATCATTATTTCTGGTTCCAAAGCAAAACCCTGATCCCCTAAAAATACGTATGGCAAAGAATTATTTCCAATCGATCGTTCTTTCGGTAAATTTAAAGTGTCATTCTTCAATCGTTGGTAAAATTTTGTCGATCGAAGGACTACAGAATCACATCGAGAGCCGTTGTTGCCAACAGAGACATATAAAAATTTATAGTCCGCTCCAACTACCGCCATTAAATTTACTGTAAATTTCTGGAGATAAGACCAATACATAGAGCCACTATGTTCGGGCTTGGTTATCTCAATGTGAGAACCGTCTATGCATCCAACAACATTCGGAAAAACACCATTATGTTTAATCCGTATTTTTTCGGCTTCAAGTAGCCATTCATCTTCTGATTCCGGTAACCTGATCTGATCTTGAAACTTATCCAGTAATGCCATTAAAGTTTCAACAATAATTCCGGACAAGGCACTGGTTGAAATATTTGTATTTTTCGATAACTTCGTTATCGAAACTCCACTGGCCATCCACTGTAAAGTGGCAGTAAGACGCTCGTGAGGAGTGATTGATCTTCTCAAGTGAGTCGTCTGTTTGATTATTAATGGCGAAACAAGATTCAAAATCTTGATGTAAGAATTCTCCGACATTCTCATATGTTCCCGAAAATGTTTTGGCGAATGCCGATATTCTTCGATTAAATTGGATTGCGATCGGGGATTATTTATAAACCACGAATGTGACCACAAGCGTTGTTTGGGTGGATTTAATAGATAAAAATCATCTTCTTCTTCATCATCGTTATGTTCTTTTCGATTAAAATATTTGTCCAAATTATCTTCATCCATTATTAACAGTTTATCAACTGAAATGATGATTAAAATATATAATAAATAGAATTCATATAAAACAAAGTTTCTTACATCGATCTTAAAAGAAGTAGCGATGATTTTGAAAAAAATAAAAGAATGAAACGGAATTTCAAGGTAAATTATAAAAAATTATGATTAATAACATATGAATACATAGTGTGCGGAAACAAAACAAAATTGTGTAAACAAAGTACGATATTTACGAAGAAGCCGCTCAGATATTTTTGCTTCAATATTGCCCAGCTTGTAAAATCTAGTGTGAACGCGAAATGGAAAATTTATGTGAAATTTCATTTCACGATAATATTG